CAGCGCCAGGCAGAGGGGGCGGTGGGCCCAGAGGCGAGTGCTGAGGCTTCAAGGCTGGAGCAGGCCAGTGTCCGCGAGTGGGAGTCTGGGGATCCCCCTGTGTGTGGTGTGCAGCCAAGCTCCTGAGGGCGATGGACAAGAGGCCACTCAGAGTTTCGTGGATGTGGTGCGAGCCTTGCAGACCCCAAAGCTTGCTGTGCCGAGTCCAGCTGGGGGCAGAACTGTGGCCTCAGAAAGGAGGTCACGGGGAGCAGGGGTGACTGTAGGGAAGCGTGAGGAGCAGGACATAAGAGCGTGGGGTCCAGTGTGCCGTCCTCCCAGGGGGTTGGCTCTTAGATCCCCGGAGCGGCCACACTCACCCCAAGCCAAGCCTCCCTGGGGGATGGAGGATGGGTCACCCATGGCTTCCCTCCTCTCTCCCAGTGCCAGGCAAGGGGACTATGGGGGGTAGGTGGGCTTTAGGGAGGATGAGGTTGGGGGCACTGGGTGCTGTCAGGGCTGAGTGCCTTTTTGGGGAGGCCGGGAGCCCCTGGGACCTCTTGAAGGATGGTCTCCAGCCCCTTCCATGAAGATGGGGCCTGGAGAGGCGCAGGGACGGTGTTGTTTTGAGAGATGGGTGTGTCAGGGGGAGATGAGGACGCTGGCAGCTGAAGGGAGGGGCCGCGGACAAAGGGGAGGAGGGCAGGAGGAGCACGGAGGCTGGCCTGGACTGAGGGAGCATGGAGTAGGGGCAGGGGAGCCAAGAAACTGGGTGCGGTGCCACTGAGCGGAAAGGTGAAGGGTCCACAGAGGAGGGGACGGGCCCTCCCCAGCAGAGAGAGAGGGAGGTGGAGAGGCCAACCGGTCACCAGGAAGGAGAACACCAGGAGGGAGAGGACGGTTAGGCGAAGCAACGCCCTACGAGCAGGGATTTCCAAGTGGGGGCAAGGAGGCCGGGACTCCACCCAGGCCTGGGCTAGGAGGATGGGAGACGCCACCCGGCGCCTGGGCCCCTCCACTCCGGGCGTGGGTGGAGTCCGATGGTCTCCTCCTGGCACCGGCCCCCACTTGCCCTGGGCGGCGGACGGAACCACTCCCGCCGTGCCCGCTCGGGCCCCTCCCGCGGAGATAAGGAGCCCTCCCTAGATGAGATGCCCTGGACGTGGCCGCCTCCACCTTCCCCGGCAAAGCCCCCCGCCCCCGCACGGATCCCTGTTATCGCGCAGGGAGGGGACGCCCCGTGTCGGAGTCCCCCCTTCCGAATTCCCCGGGCTGCTGTCCCGTGGTCTTCTCGGGCAGCGGCGGGGGTGGGGGGCCCGGAAGAGGCCGGGATGTCCCGTGGGGGTGGGGAACTGGGGAGCGGCGGGCCTCCTGGTTCCGCGTGTGCTTAAAGCCGGAGGGGAGTTTTGGGGGACTACCCTGCTCAGACGTCCTCGGTAATCTCCAGCCCTCCGTCTGGGACGGGGTCGGGTCCAAGTGTGCGAGGAGAAGTCCGCCCGCGCTGGTTTCCATGTATTTGCATTTAAGCGTTGACGGATGCACGGGTCCCGCGCTCTCCCCCGACAACCCTCCTCCCTCACCCCTCCCCGCCGGCGGTCGGCTGGGCCCGGGCGCTGCGGGAGGCGGGGGTGGACCAGACGACCTTTCTTAGCGGGTTGGCCTGGAACCCAGGTCCTTGGGTCCACAGCCAGGACTCAGGGGGCGGGGCTCGAAGGGCGGGTCTCAAGGGGGCGGGGTCTTGGGGTCCCTGAAAGGCGCGCACCCGGCGGACCCACCCAGTCCCGGTCTCCTGTCTGCTCCCGCTCCGTGGTCTGCGCCGGACCCCCAGCCGCCATGCCTAAGTGCCCCAAGTGCGACAAGGAGGTGTACTTTGGTGAGCCTTCCCCGCCTACCCCAGCTCAGCCCCGGCCGGGAGCGCGCGCCCCGCGCCGCCCCCACGAGGAAGCGCGGCCCAGGGGACAACCCGGCCGGGCCCCTCCGGAGGGCCGGGCGCGCCGGGGGACCGGGGGGCCGCGTGCCGAGAGCCGACACTTCAGCCTTGCCGACGACCGCCTGGGTGTGCGGGTCAGGACCCCGGCGTCGGATGGCCCTGTCTCTGCTGATTCCGGGTCTCCGCCCCGCTCTCTTCCTGTCGGTCCCGCTGGGTCTCCCCTTGTCTGGGTCCCCCTTTCTTCAGGTGTCCCCGTCGCTGGGTATCCCCCGCTCTCCCGTCCCCCCTCGGTGCGCCCCGGGCGGGGACCGCGCGGCCGAGGGAGAAGCGCTGCGTTCTTGCCGCCCCTCCCATCGCGAAGCAGAAACAGACGCGGAAACCGGCGCCCGGGGCGCGATCCCGGGCGCGCTCGGAACCGGGTGCCGCCTCCGGGTGCCGCCTCCCTGTCCCGCGCCCCGGGGCCCACCCAGGGAAGGAAGTGGGAAGTGTCTCTCCCGCCTCCGCCCCCAGAGAAGGGCGCCCTGCAGGCCCCACCCATACAGCGCCGCGGGTCACCCATGCCCCCGCCCCCGGCGCTCCGGGTCTCCTCCAGCAGTACCACCCCGCGCCCCCTCCCGTTTGTTTGGCGGGATTGGCCCAGGGGACTGGAGGTGCCCCCTCCCCCCCCCACTGATGCGGCACAGGGCTGAGACCCAGGGTGGGCCACCAGGCGCCCCGGGTGAGACCAAGGGCAGAGGGAACTGGAGAAGGCTGCTGTGAGTAGGTGGCTGTGCCCTGTGACCCCAGAGCAGGGTCTTATACTGGGTGGGGGGCACCGTCTGTGCCTCTGCAGCTGAGCGGGTGACCTCTCTGGGGAAGGACTGGCATCGGCCTTGCTTGAAGTGTGAGAAATGCGGGAAGACGCTGACGTCAGGGGGCCACGCTGAGGTAGGTGGGGCCTGGAGGGCCGCAGGGGCGCGGGGTGAGGGCGGACAGCCTCTCATGGCCCTTCTCCCTGCAGCATGAAGGCAAGCCTTACTGCAACCACCCCTGCTACGCCTCCATGTTCGGGCCTAAAGGTATGCTTCTCCCGCTCCCCCCTAGCCTGCCCTGAAGGTATGGTTCCCGGGGCCACCCCTCACCTGCCTCCTCTTTTTTCCTGCAGGTTTTGGGCGGGGTGGAGCTGAGAGTCACACTTTCAAGTAAACCCAGGTACCAGCCCAGACCATCAGGCCTTCGGGATGGTCCCTTCATTCCTGAGGGAGGTCTGACAGCTCTCTGTGTCTGCATTCACCTCTCTCTCTGCGCAGGTCATGGGAACACTGTCCCCGGCTGCCCACCGGGCCACTGCCCCTCCAGGCTGATTGCAGGCCTCATCCGCAGGCACCCCGGGCCCCCTGTCAACTCCCATGCCCTCAATAAAGTTGAACCCTCAGAAGCCTTGCCTGTGTGTGCAGAGGAGGGGGAGAGGCTTTGGCGGGGGCATGGTGGTGGGGGGCTGCCGCTGGCCGCTGTGATGCCAGGGGCACTGGCTCTTCCTACCGCACCTGGCCTTGTGGCTCACCGCCCTGCGGGGTGCTGTGCTGGGGGCCTCCCAGCCTGAAGCTTCCTCTACAAGACAAGGGGCTGGCCACCCAGGAAGGGCCCACGGTGGCTCCACTCTCTAGCTCCCAGCCCAGTAAATGCCGCAGCCTCCAGAGGTTGTGGGATAGGCCGAAGGGAGGCTCTACAGGTCAGCGGTATCGTAAGGCCTAGGAGCTGGTGGGTGGTGGCCACAGGGTGAACCAGCTGTGCTCACCCTGGTTCTGTTTTTGAGAAGCTCTGGGGGAGTTGGGGTGAGGCGTCCTTGCCTGTTCTCTCCACTTCCTGCCCCACCCTTGTCCCCATTACCACCCGCAGGCCAGCCATGTTCCTGCAGGGGCATGAACTTAGACAGCCCTGTCTCCCGCCCCCCACCCCATACCGAGTGGCCAGCCACTAAATGGGGAATTTGAGGACTGTCTGGGCAGTGGATAGTTGGGGGCTTTCTGGAAACTCCCATGTCAATTCTAGCAGTACCTGCAGACTGAGCCACACGCAGAGCCCTCCCCATTCCCTCCTGGCCACTCGGACTCCAGCCCCAGCAGAGGGCCACCCCTCCCAGGCCTCGGCCTTCTCCAGGGTTTTGCAGGCCTGAGCTGGACAGTCTGGTGTTTGCGGGGGGGTCCTCAAGGGCCACCTGTAGGGTGGGGGAAGGTTATTGGGTGGCTTGCAGAACTCCGGGAGGTGGGAGCCACGGTTCGTTTGGAAGACCGGGGTGGGAGGGTACAGACGGTGCCAAGGTGAGGCGCTGGTTTCCCAGAGGACCCTGGGAGGGTGGGGGCTGGGGCCGTCGCGCCAGAGCGCGGAGTCGGGGTGCGCAGGAAAAGCTGCACCAAGTCCTGGGAGGGGCAGCGCCGAACGAGGCCGCAGAGGCTCCTGCCTCCTCAGCGTTCTGGGGCCTGGGGGGTAGCTCGCAGCCGGGATGCGTGCGGCGCGGATCGCCGGCGGCCAGGGCGGGTGGGTCAGGACTGTGGTCTTTACTTTGGCGTCGGCAGAGCGGCCTGCGGGGACCAGGCTGGACCGAGCGGAAGGGGGGTTGGAGGCGGGGACCGGGGACTCCTGGGTAGGAGCCGGCGGTGCCGGAGCCGGGGGCGGGCGACGGTGAAGACCGCGGTGGGGGCGCCGGGACCCGCCCGGACGCGCTTCCTTGCAGGCGTGGCCACGGCCGGCGCGCGGAGGGGCGCGTGGGCCGCCGGCTCGGGCCGCTCCGCCGCCTCGCGGAGGTAGGCTTTACCCGCCGCACGTTCAGAACCGGACCGCGCGGGCCGCCGGCTCTAGCCGGGGGCGCGGGGCTCTGCAGGCGCGGGGCGCTGCCGTTCGGGGCGGACGCGCGCCGCCTCCCTGCCCGCGCCGGGGCGTCCGTGCGCGCTGCCGGACTCTGGGGCCGCGGCCGCCGGGGACCCGCCAGACAGCGGTGCGTGGCAGGGCTTGGGTGCGGAGGCGCCGCCCGCACCCCGCGGGAGCCCCAGGCGCGCCCGCCGGGCGGGGGTTCGCGGAGGCGGAGGGGCTCCGGCGCGCTCAACCGCGGACGCACGCGCGGTTGCTCCGCGGCCTCTGGCGCGAGGCTGGGCGGGGCGCTGGGGGGCGGGGCCTGAGCGAGGCGGGTCCGCGCGATTGGGCCGCAGGGCGGACCCATGGAGCTCTCGACGTCAATTGGCCCGTGCCGCCCAGGAACGGCCTCCGCACTGGACAGGACAGACGTCACTCAAAGGCCCCGGTGCCGTTCATTGGGCCGGCGCTGGAGGCAGCCGGGCGACGGCCCCGCGCGGCGGTCGCCGCGCGCAATCCGAGGGAAGCCGGATGCATGGGGCGGCGGCGGCGCCGGGGGTACGCGGTCGGGGCCCTGCCCGAGGCCATCGCCGCGCTGAGTCAGACGCTGCCCGCCGGGCCCAGCCCCGAAATCTTCCGCCGCGCCAAGTTCGACCGTCCGGAGGCGGTGAGGCCCGGACGCCGGGGGGCGGGGGCCCGGGCGGACGCAGGGAGGCGGCCGGCCCCGCTGAATGCCGCTCTTTGGTACCCCCAGGCCCCAGCGCTCTGGCAGCTGCTCTTCCGCGTGCTCTCGCCGCCGCCGGCCGCCGGCGCCCGGGCCTCCGCTGCCCTCGGTAAGCCCCGCCTTCCCCGTAAGGCCTGCCCACTCACCGCGGGTCCACCTGCTCGCGCAAGCCCCGCCCCAGTTATCCCCGCCTCCACAGTAAGCCCCGCCCCTGCGGGCTGGCTCTATCCACTCACAGACCCTGTGCCTGGGCCCGCCTCCTGTAAAGCCCCCCCGCCCGGTTAGCCCCGCCTCCCTGGTAAGAATCCGCCCCTACGGGCCCTGACCCCGCCCCCTCCACCTGCTCGGGCAAAGCCCCGCCCGCCTCATGAGCCCCGCCCCCATTAGCCCAGATACCCTCACCCTGTGAGTATGGATTGTTCCCTCCAAACATGGCCTCTTCTTGGGGGTCGTGTCAGGTCTCCCCGTGGGCGGCCCCCTGAGCAGGCGGTCCTCCATCCCTAGGGGCCCAAGTCCGCCTGGTGAAGTCGGCGCTGTGCTCCCAGGGCTACCCCAGGCGGGTGCTGGCACAGCTCCCTGAGGACGGCTCCCAGGGCAGCCGTGAGCTTCTACTGGCGCTGGCCTGGCTGCTGGCCCGCGGGCCCCTGCTGGAACACCTGCTGGCCCAGACTCGAGTGTGGCTGGGTGATGAGATACCCCTGTGCCAGGTGCGTATGCCTGGAGGGGGCATGGGACTGGGGGCTGGCAGGCTGCCTGGGAGCAGTCTGGGCCAACCCTCAGGTCCGCCCTGGGAGGGTCCGCATTTCCCCTCCCTGCTCCCCGCCTCCTTCCCTGGCCCTCCTTCTGGGCAGGGTGGCATGTGTGCTCATAGGGTGTGACCCCCAAGGGGAGAGGCAGGCAGAGAGAGAGGGGAAGCAGCTCCCTGCTGAGCAGAGATCCCGATGCGGGGCTTGATCCCAGGACCCTGGGATCATGACCTGAGCCGAAGGCAGAGTCTTTAACCCACTGAGCCAGCCAGGCGCCCCCCCAAGTCTCCTCTTGGCAGCCCTGGGGGCCCATGGCTCTCTCTCCAGGAGCCTCTTTTTTCCTGTCTCCCTTGGGGTCTCCACAGGGAATATGGGAGCAGGGTGTGACCCTTGTGCCCTCTTCAGTGTGAAGCCCTGGCCAATCCTGGCCCACCTGCACCCTGCCAAGAAGCAGATGGCCCTGTGGACATACGCCACTTGCAGTGGCTGATGGGAAAGCTGCGGTTCCGGTGGCGAGACCTGATCACCAGTCAGCAGGAGCTGTGTGCCCTTCTGGGCAAGGTATTGTTCCCTGAGGACTGTGTACCCAGGGGCACTTACTCTCTGTGCTACAGGCTGTTGGCTGCCTCTTTCTGCCGGAGGCCTGTCCATCCAGTCTGGAGCCTGGCCTTGGGCTGCATGGGGCCCAGGCCTGGCTGGGAGCTGACCCGTTGGGCACTGCCCTGCAGTGGCCCAGAACCTGAGCCCAGGGCTTCAGGGGGTCCAGGAGGGGTCCTAGGGCAGGTGGAGTTGGGCATCCCTGGGGCAGTGAGTCAGTGGAGCGGGGAGCCTGTGGGGTTGGCCTTCCTGGTTCCAGAAGTCATCAGAGCCCTCAGGCTCTGTCTCTGAGAAGAAATGGGTTCTGGGCCCGGGGGAGCCGCTCCTGCCTGCGCCTGTTTCTTTCCCACATCCTGGGTGTCGGCTGATGGGCGGTAGGCGGCTTCTGTAGGGTTCCTGAGGGCAGGTAAGGCACAGCTTTGGGGGCGCAGGTCCCTCTTACAGGTGTAGTGCAAAGTCCAGGTTGAGAGGTGGCTGGGCAGGGAGGCTCGGACTCCCACCAGCATAGGGCTCCTCCATGCTGGGCCCCCCACTCTGTACCTCTGCACCCTGGACCTGTGCACCCCACACCCGTGCACCTCTGCACCCCTGCAGAAGACTTTTTTGCTCCTTCAGTCCTTCTTGGAACCTGTGTCTCTCTTTCTTGGCGCAAGCTTCACTTGCTTGTCCTGGCCGGGACACGGCTGCCCGTTAACCTCCATGATGCCTTCTGGTCTCCCCTTGCCGGGAAGCCTTCCCTGCCCCCCAGACCCAAACGGTCACTCTGTGTCCCCACCACTGGCTGCACCGGACCACCTAGCTTGTCCAGAGGCTGTTTCTTCCACCACATGGACCTGGCAGTTGATGACCTTAGGGAGAAGCGGGGGTGCCCCATTCCGGTCCCCACCAGACTCCTGGGAACCGTGTGGGAGGGGGACGCTATAGGCGGGACCGCCCAGTGCCCCTCGCCCTGCAGGGACCTCCTGGAGGGCCTTGGGCCAGTGCCCCAGCAGTGCTGACCACTGTCCTAAGCCTGACCCTTGCCTGCCCTGGAGCACTGTGGCGAGGTGTGGCGCGTTTCCTTGCCTGTAAGGGAGGCTCCAAAAACCTCCCTCAGCACTTGGAGAAGCGCCCCTTCCTGCTCACCTGGGGTTCGCACTGCCTGTTTCAGATCCACTCCTATACCCGCGGCTGCCACAGTGACCGCAGCCTTGGCCACCTGTCTGTTGCTGAGATCCAGCTGCTCAGGGACCCAGAGGGCGGCCAGCAGGTGAGGGCTGGTGTGTGTTGGTACCATAGGAGTGCAAAGAAGTGAGGTGGTGGGGGTTGAGGTGGGGAGGGACCTGAGAAGGAGGACCCAGCTGCCCAGCTTTGAGCCTGGGTGATTGCCCAACTCACCATCTTGCTAGTGTGGGGGACAGGAATGTCCTCAAGGCCTTCCCCAGCTCCCTAGACCGGCCAGTGGTGCAGGAATCTAGACCAGCTGCTGTGTGTACATGTGGCTGGGCATGGTTAGGGCCCCAGGGGCACAGGTGTCTAGGCTGGGCTGGCAGCTGGGTTGGTGGCGGGGGGGCTCTGGAATTAAGGAAGACTGCTCAAGGGTTCAAGCTCATGGGGTAGGTGCCTGGAGTGCGTGCAGGGGTCATCCGGCACTTGAGGTGGTGGGAGGAGGGTGGTCTAGCATGCCCCACACCTCGTTGAGTTTCTTTTCAGGAGACCGCATTCTGCCTTGGTTCTCTCCTTCCCTTGGGCTGCATGTCCAGGGTGTCCTGGGGCAGGCCCAGGGCTGGCTGTCACTTGAGGGCTGGGCTCTGGCCCTCGGCACTGTCCAGCCTGGGGGACACTTGGCCAGGCAGGAGGGCGGACGCTCAGGGCTGGAGTGGCCCCTCTTTCCAGGTCCCGCAGATCCTAGCTCTGGAGTCCTGTGCTCCCTTGTGTGGGGATGGGGTAGCCACCTGGGGTGTCTGCCAGGCCTGCGTCCCCGGCCAATCCCTGGCTGGCCCTGCTCAGGCAGGGCTGCACTGGTCCCTGAAGGTGCAGAGACAGTGTCTCGGCGACCCGAGGTGCCCTTGGCTATGTCCCCTTCTGTGGGTGACTCGGCAAGGCCCAGGCTTCCTGCCCTTGGGCCCCCCGCCCCCAGGCTGGAGCAGAACAGAAGCGGCACCAGCCCCAGCCAGGTGTTGCCTGGGGCTCCGGCCTCAATGGTGTGGGGGCCTGTGGGGCTCCCCCTTGCCTCTGAGGTGCCGCAGGACTGCAGACGGCACGAGGTGGATGGGGGTCACGGTTGGCTTCCTTCCAAGGTTTCTGGAGGGGGAGCTGGCAGAAGCCTGGGCCAGTGTACCCAAAGGGCCTGCACTCTTGGGACGGGTCCCAGAAGCTTCCCGAGGGATCTGCGGTTGCTGCGCGAGGCCAGGCATGCTGCGGACTAGCTGGGCAGTGAGCGAGCTTGCTTCCTGGTGGGGCTGCAGCCTTCTTATGTCCCGGGGCCTGGCCGCAGGGCAGCAGGACGGAGCAGGGGGGTGGGGGGTGTCTCAGGAGGCTCTAGCACTGGGCCTGAAAGTCGGAGGGCAGAGGGGACTTGTAGCCTCTTCCTGTTGTGCTGCCCCCCTTTCCTGAAGCTGGGGAGGGGGGGAGCATGTGGGGGCCTGAACTGTGCACGTGCTCGCATGTGGCCTGCACCCTCCCCGTGTCTCCGTGCTCTGAGGTGGTTCTCCCTTAGACCCACGGGTGTTCTCTCTGTCGGTGAGCCTCCGAGCCACGCGTGCCTGTTGTGCAGCGTGTGGTGGTTTGGCAGAGCTCTTAGCTGGCCCTCTGCCTTGGCCCCAGAGCATGCTGCTGGATTCCCAGGAAGCCCAGCATCTGTCTTCTAGAAGGAGCAGTGCCGGTGGCCAGGCCAGCTGCTGCATTCAGAGTCATAGCAGGAAGGGGCCTGTGGCTTCCTGGTGGGGCGGGCGGGCGGGGGCACCGGGTGGGGCTGGGGGAGGCCTGCACTGGACCTCCGCAGGGCTGAGTGGGCCCTCTGGTGGTGGGACTGGCAGGAGCTGGAACACATGGCCATCCCGGGACCCCCGTGTCTGGGTGGGGTCTGCACGTTTGGGGCTGAGCCAGGTGTGTTGGGGGGGTTCCCCCAGGAAGGGTTCCCTTCCCGAGAGCCTGGCAGCCTCCCCATCCTGGGCCTTCCTCCTCTGCCCACGTCTCGGGTGCAGCCCCCAGTTAGTGAGGGGTGTGGGGCAGAGGTCCTGAGTCGAAGGTCCTTGTTGTCCGCGCCTGGCCCTGTGGGGGCCCACCTTTGGGGCCAGTGTGGGGCCCACAGGTGTGGTCGGCCTGGTGGTCCCTGGCAGTGGGGCTGCCCTGCAGGGTGGGTGGCTGGTGGGACCGACTGGCTTGGGGGCGGAAGAGACCGGTGGGCGTGATGGTTGTGTGGCCGGCGCTGGGGGCCCCGGGGGGGTTGTGTGGCCGGCGCTGGGGGCCCCAGGGGGGGTTGTGTGGCCGGCGCTGGGGGCCCCAGTGGGGGTTGTGTGGCCGGCGCTGGGGGCCCCAGGGGGTCTGACCTGGCCACGGTCTGTGGTTTGCTTTGCAGCTGCTTCAGAGGCTGGAGAGTGAGAACGCGCGCCTGGAGGCCACCCTGCAGTGGCGACGTCGGGAGCTGGTCTTCTGGCGGTGGATGGTGCGCCCGGCTCCCCTCCCTTCCCTGAGCCTTGACCCCAGCAGCCCGGGGTGGGGCGGTCAGCTGTGTTCTTCCCAGACAGGAGGAGACGGGAGGCCACATACACACCCAGCCACGCAGCTCGTGTTAGGACCCAGCTTGCCCTGAGTCAGAGGCCTTCCGAGATGTCTGTCTGTCCCATCACCTGCCCTTAGGGGGCCTTCCACAAGTCTGGCCTTTGTGCCTCCCTGGCCTCATGGCCTGCGGGCATGATGGGTGGCTGTTCGGGGTTGGGGTGCGGGGAGGCCGCTGCTCCCAGGCCTCTGCACCTCTGTCCCCACTGGCTGTGGGCTGTGCTAACAAGGCTTGGGCTCGCTGCCTGCCTCTTACTTGGGTCTCTCTCTGCAGGACACGGTCCTGGGCAGCTGCCCCCTGGAAGCCTCACCGGCCACGGTTCTGCCCAGGGACCCTGCGCCGGGGCCTGGCGAGCTGGAACTGGTGGCCTGGGAGCTACAGGGACTGCGTGGGGAGTTGCAGGGGGCTGCGGAGCCCCGGCGGGCAGCCTGGGAGGCCAAGGTGGGGGCCTGGGGCGGACACGGGGCACGGCGCAGCCCTCGTGGAACTCCTGCGGTTTAAGGCTGGGAGGCAGGGCGGACCGCAGCAGCCCTGGGGGGTGGCGGCCGGAGGAGTCCCGCTGTCCCAGCCCCCAGCCGCGGCCCCGTCCCTGTGCGGCAGTGCTCTCCATGGGCGGGACCAGCCACGGTCCCTTCATGGTTCCTGAAGCGTCTCGGTGGAACTCGTGGGCACAGTTTCCCCCCAAAGCCTGTAGAGCCGTGTGAGGAGCAGCCCGCAGCCCTTTGCCCTCTGCTGTGGTGGCCGCTGGAGCGTGGCTGGTACTCACACGCGCGTCTCACAAGCTGTCTGCCACCGCGCGAGGCTTTGGACCAGAACCCACTGAGGGCTGCACCTTGGGGACACAGCCTCTTCTCAGTCCCCCACCCCACAGAGCCTCTGGGATGGGCCCACCTGGAGGGTCAGAAGTAGCCTCCACAGGCAGTGTCCCCTTGGGCCGGCCCGTTGCACGCTCCCCATCCTGGGAGCGCTGGGCCCGGGGAGGCTGATTCAGCAGAGGACAGTGGGTGTGCGAGGTTGACACTGACCCTGGTGTGGCGGGTCGGGCTGCGGGTAGGTGGGTCGGGGGTCTGTGCTCGGCTCTGAACGGGCCGAGGGGGACTTGGTGATCTGTGGAGTGGGTCGGGCCTGCAGCTGCCGGCCCTGTCCCCGGGGCCCCTCCATGGGCTCAGGGCTCAGGTGCTCCTTGAGGGAGACGTAAGGGCTGGAGGGGCCTGCACTGTGGTCGGCCCCCTTCCCAGGAGGAGTCGGATCTGGGCTGTCAGCCTTCTCAGGGCGCGGCTGGGGGTTGGTGCTGGGGCCGAGGGGGCTCAAAGCCTGTGACCTGGGCAGGGTGTAGCTGCCCCCCGCTTTAGGACCTCCCCCTTCCCCCCTCTCCCTGTGCAGGCTGGAGGCTGGGGGCCGGAGTGGAGCACTGCGCAGCGGGCCATACAGGAGGCTGTGGGGCGGGACCTGGCAGCTCTGCAGCGGGCCTGGGAGCAAGGTGGGGCCCCGGCGCTGCCCCACAGGCCCTGCAGGCTGGTGAAGAGGGATGCCAGAGCCGTGGAGGGCCCCGGCCTGTGGGCTGCCGAGCTGACTGGGGCGCTGCGGATCCGGGAGAGCCGCCTGGAGGCTGTGCTGGGCCAGCTGCAGGCACGGTGTCGGCAGGAGCTGGCCAGGCTGGCGGGAGCCGAGCCCGGCCTCATCTGGATCCTGCCGTCTGGTCGCTGAGGGCCCGAGGGTGGGTCCTGCCGGAGGGCGCCGGCCCTGACGCCCTGAGAGCCTCAGAGGAGCAGGTTTCCGGCGGCCCCAGGGATGCTGCCGACATGACCCCCTGGGGTGCTTGCCCTGAGCTCTGGCCCATCCCTGCTTTGGGACATACTGGAGGCAGACGTGACAGGTGTCTGTGGGCGTGCAGGATCAAGACAGTGTGCAGAAATGAGTTGTAGAGGCCTCCCTGCAGGGGTGAAGCCCTGTCCTGGTCCCCCTTCAGCCAGCCCTCCAGGTTCCCATCTGGGGAGGGTCAGGTCTGTGCTCAGGCCCAGGGAACGGGACCCTGGGTAGTGAGGGCCAAAGGAGGGCTGGTCCTGGGCTGCCCTGGAGCTGGAGGGTCAGGCACGGCCTGAAGCATGGACTGGACCTCAGGGTCCTGGGGGAGGGGACAGCCCTGGATGTCCCATCCGCACTGCGTCCTGGCCCCCACTGCCGTCCCACCTTGTTCCCCGGGCCTGGTGTGTGTGCGTGTGTGGTGGGCGGGGATGCTGGCCGGGAGCCTGGGGGTGGGGGATGCTATTTCTTTCCTGGGGGCGGTGCTGGGGGTGAGGGGGAGGCCACTGTGGACAGAGGGGGCTTTGTTCGTGGGACTGTTCGGGGAGCTGGGCTCGGCCCTGACAAAGAGCCATCTGTCTGGGTGATGTGCCCCCACTTGCCGGAACAGGCCCCCCTCCGTCCCAGGGGCTCAGCCTTTCGGCACCCCTCACCCAGCAGGCACAGATGGCCTCGTCCTGCCTCTCTCAGCCCGGGACAGCTGAACCCCAGCCCGCTGCTGGGCAGGTGCAGGGGCCTGTCGGCTGTCTCCGACTGCCAGCCGGGTCAGGCCCAAGGATGCTCTCACAGCCTGGGTCCCCACGGAGCGTTCTCTCGTTGGCTGTGCCCGAGGGATGCCCGCTGCTCCCTCTGCACTGGTCAGACCAGGCAGACCGCCCAGGAGGGCGTCCCTGACCCTCTCCTCACGGGCCTGGCCCGTGCAGTCTCTGGGCCGGGGTCCTTCCCTCCCAACCACAGCCCCCTCCCAGCTCCTTGTCAGAGTTCCAGCTGTGGTCCAGGGCTCACGGGGCCTCGACTGTCTGCCCGCCGTCTCTGGATGTGTAGAGTCCCTTTTGGACGCCCTGCAGCCGACCCCTCTGCCTCCCATGCCCTCAGCCGTCCTGACCACCGGCGGGACCCTCCTCATCTGGGAAGCAAGTCCACTCAAAGCTCCCTGCCTTCTGCGGATTGCCCTTGAGCTGGGACCCCCGTGGGCCCTCGGGAGCTCGACGTGTAGAAGCCAGAGGCGCGCTCAGTTCTGTGGGGCCGCCCTTGGCCAGACTGATCTGTGGATCCAATACAACCCACTCAAACCCCACTCGTGTCTGTGCGACTTTGCTGTGGATGCGGGGCACGTGGGGTGGGTCAGGCCCGGAGAGCCCCAGTCTGGGCGGGGGAAGCGAGCAGGTGTGGTCTGCAGGCTCAGTGGCAGGAGGTGTCCGGAGAACTAGGGAGGCCCATCCCCTCCCCTGGCGCGGCAGTCTGACACTCCCCGCCTCCCCTGCAGGGACGGGACAGGTCCACAGGCCCGAGGCAGCCTCTGGAGCAGACGTAGGTGCAGGCCTGCAGAGCTCACATACACACGGCGGGCTGGTGGGGGGCGGCAAGGCCATGGGGGACAGCGGCGGACAGTGGGGACCAGCGGGGGGGCTGTGGGGTCTGTGGGGGGGCAAGGCAGTGGGGGGAGTGAGGACCCGCGGGGGGGTGCAGTGGGACTGTTCCGGGCAGGCAGGTGTCTGTGAGGATGCACAGGGGAGCCCAGGCTCCCCAGGGAGACGTGACATTCCGGGCAGCTGTGGAGGCGAAGACACCGCAGTCCATGACCCCCATGACCTGCTGCTCCGAGGGCCCCAGAGAGACAAGGAGAGACGCGCCGCAGTAGAACCCCCCGTGATGTCGTAACCTGTGAGGACGTGTGGAGGAGACAAAGGCAGGAGCCCTGGAGAAGAGGGATCGGGGTCATAATGTGTCCGGGCCTGCAGGGTGGACATAGGCCCGGCGGAGGGCAGGGGGGTGCGGGCTCGACCCAACGCGGGGAGCGGTCCGTGACCTGCAGACTCCCGCCTGCACAGCAGCTGGGCCAGTGGGAGTGGACCTCGGGCGGCACCATGACCGGGCCTCCTGGGAACACAAGAGCAGGGACAGACAGTTCAGAGACCGTGACTGGCAAGGACACCCTTGGAAGGATCAGGAGCCGTTACAGGCTGCCATGCCGATGCTGGCCCCTTCGGCTGTTGAACCGAACATGGCTGGCAGGACCTCTGGGCGAGCCCCGCACACAGGTGCGTGTGTGTCAGCTGCTGCGTCCACGGCACTGGCCCCGCACCAGGTCCACCGGCCCCGCACCAGGTCCACCGGCCCCGCACCAGGTCCACCAGCCCCGCACCAGGTCCACTGGCCGGCTTCCCGTCCCTTCGGTTCAGGGCCTCCTCACACTGCTGGTTGACCGTGGCCAGGCCTGGGCTTGGGGGCACGGTGGGCTGGGCCGCCGGCTGGTCAGTTCACCTCTGGGGGGACACCTGCTGGGCGCTCCCAGGGTCCTGCTGAAGGTCAGACTCCGGCAATGGGACGCTTCTCAGTGGCACGTATGAAATCTGGTTGGAGGGACACAGCTGGTGATTGGTCCACAGCCACGCCCTGCCCCGGGTCCTGCCCTGCGGCAGTGGCCCCCAGCCCTGCACGGGTCCCCACACTCCCGTGTCCCCTACTGGATGTTGGGCACTGAGTGTGGCCAGTTGCCGTCCTCCTGTGTCTGCCCCTTTTTGGCTGAGCTGCCTATTCCCCACTCACCCACCAACCGGGGCTGACACTGCCCTGGATGGCGGAGGCTAAACCCCACAGGCAGGGCGGCCTTGCTGTGGGACTGGGGGTCAGGGGTCAGAGAGAGTGGTGGTCAGAGACTTGGAGGACAGGCACTGAGTGGCCCTGGAGGGGGGTCAGACAGAGGAAACCGGGTCTGTGTGTGGGGGGAGCAGCACTGAGAGAGGGCCTCGGGGAGGGGTGAGGTGTGCAGGGGTCCTGAAGACGAGGTACAGGGGCTTGGCGGGCTCGGGCGGACTCGGGGACAGGGTCTGTGGCGTAGGAGCTGTTGGCTCTTCCTCGGATTGCTGTTTGTTACACCCAAGATTTGTCCCCACCCCTTCTGGGGACAGTTTTTAATTTTTTAAAAGATTTATTTATTTGACAGAGATCACAAGTAGGCAGAGAGGCAGACAGAGAGAGGGGAAGCAGGCTCCCCGCTGAGCAGAGAGCCCGATGCGGGGCTCGATCCCAGGACCCTGAGACCAGGACCTGAGCCGAAGGCAGAGGCTTTAACCCACTGAGCTGCCCAGGCGCCCCCAGTTTTTAACTTTGGTTGGTAAAAAGTAACATGAAGTTTACTGTCTTAACCAGTTCTAAGTGTATGGGTCAGTCCTGTTGTGCACAGTCACGCCGTCATGAAGTAGATCTCTGGAACCTTCCCATCCTCCCCGAGGGCCACTCTGGCCCCATGCACGCTCTGTGCCCTCGCCCGGCCCCCGAGCCCCAGCCCGCTGTGTCTGTGCGGACGGACTCCTCTAGGGACGTCCGGTGAGGGGTCACAGGGTGTCTGTCCTGTGAGTGGCTGAGGTCAGTCCGTGCGATGTCCCCACGGTTCAGCCTCGCGGGGGCAGGTGTCGGGACCTCCTCCCTTGAAGAAGACCGAGGAAGAGTCTATGTGCGGATGGACCACGTCTTTCTCCTCCTCCTCCCAGCTGTGGCTGTTGTGGGTAACGCGGTGGCGGACGTGACGGCGCAAACACCCCCACCCCTCTAGTTGGATCGCCGAGGCCGGAGGCCGCCGTGACGGCAACGACGGGATGTGAGCAGGCACGGGGCTCAGACCAGGCTTGTCTCCCCGGGGCAGGGGGAGGTCGGAGGCAGCAGGTGGCTCTCCCCTGAGGTCACGTCCCGGGGTCTGGCAAGGCCCTCCCTCAGGGATCTTCACAGGAACCCCTGCTCAGAAGAAACACCCGATGGTTCTGTGCATCAGGGCCCAACGGCGTAATGGACCTTAATTACGCAGCAGCCATTCAGAAAGAAAAAAAAAAAGGAAAAAAAAAAAAGAAAACCAACTACGCACACACTGGAAACGTGAGTCTTACATCACTGCGATGACGTCCGCAGCATGTCGCGTGTCGGCCACTGCGAGCTCTGTGCGCCTCCTGAAGCCGAGGACCACAGCCGCTATTGGAACCGGGGCCTGGCTGGCGTGGGGCTGGCGCCCCTGCTGTAGCGCTGAGCTTGCAGAGAGCCCAGGGGGGCGGCGGTGCCGGGTTGTCCTGAGACCCCGCGGGATCGGGCTTGCCGTGCTTACCTGCTTCCCTAAAAAAGCCCTGAGAATCTGCTGTGGCCCCTTTGGCAGCCTCGGGACCGGGTCTGGGCACTGCGGCCCAAAGGAGTGCACGTTTTTGGGTTTTCCCATTCTGTTTCCCTCCACTTGGTGTCATGCACTCAAGCTCCGTCCTCGAAGCTGCTTCTGTCCGGTGGGTGAGACCCCACAGGACCCGTCCACCTCCCATGGGGGACACCTGCTGCCTCCAGCTCTGCCATCACAGAAGTGCCTGCCCTCCCACGGCCGGGAGCCCAGGAGCAGAGCAGTGGGCCCCGGCATGTGGCCAGGGACGCCGGCCGTGCACCCCTCCAGCCGCTCCCCCTCCCACCAGCCACGACGTTCTTGTCCCCGAGACCTCCCTCAGCCCTGTCTGCCTTCCACAGGTTTGCAGGCGAACGGGCCTCAAGCGGTCTCCGAATTTACACAACCCATGTCCACTCACTGTCCGCGAGCGTCTCCACCGGCTCCCGCTTGGCTGCTCGGGTGAGCCCGCCCCGTCCCGCAGCCACGCGTGGCCGCACTGCCCGCCCCGCGCAGACTGCGCTCACCGTCGTCCCCACTCTGTCTCTGGGCAGACACCCGCTCACGCTTGCCCTTTGCAGAACGGAGACTTCCGGTTCCGCCTTCACCAGATGGAGTGTCCTGTGGCTCCTCGGTTCCGACGGCGAGCGTCTGGGGACATGCCGCCTCTCCACGTCACATGCTCACCCATTTCCTGCTCTCGGGTTTTTCCTTCACACCCACGTCTTCCGACATCAGAGTCACCCCGCGGGTGTTGTCTGGTTTGCTATGCGGTGAGCCACTTCCCAACGCCACCTCGGCCTGGAAGCGCCCTTTCCTCCCGATGGGGTACGTCCTCCAAGTTCAGTGCTATCTGTCCCACGGCCCAAGGAGCACCGGCAGGAGAGGCTCCCAGCGAAGAGACGTGACACCTGTCACTGCGGGTGTAGACCGCCTCGGTGGGGGCCACGGTTTCATTCTGGCCACGTGGCTAACGCCTCCTCCCTCAGCGGCAGGAGGCAGGAGGCAGGAGGCCGCTCTCCCTCGGGCCAGGACATGCACCCCAGTCTCCTCCATGAACTGCTGTGCTCACTGGGTGCTTTCCGTGAAGCTTTGTGACTTGGGAAGTTTGCTTCTGCTCTTAATTTCCTAAGAGCTTTATCTACATCATGGATTTCCAACGCTTCGTCTTCACTAATGAAGACAGCCATACGATGTTCTCCTTCACGCTTCTGCAACGAAACACGCCACATTCACACCAGCACTCTTTCCCACAAGGAGCCATCCCTGCATTCTTGTAAAAAGCCCTGTTTTAACTTAAAAAAAAAAAAAAACAACCCACATTTATTTATCCTAGAAAGAGACTGTGTGTGCATGGGGGAGGGCAGAGGTAGAAGCAGGCTCCCTGCTGGGCAGGGAGCCCGACGTGGGGCTTGGTCCCGGCACCCCGGGATCATGACCTGAGCCGAGGGCAGACGCTCAGCCCACTCGGGCCCCTGGGAGCCCAGCTGTGCACTCGTTATAACCATGTTGTATTAGGATTTTTCTCTGCATTTTATGTTTATCTTCCGTTACTTTTGTCTCCTCCCTTTTCTTGTTTTCAGATCTACCATTGGGTAGATCTGGTTTTCTGCTGTGCTTCACGCATCACACAGCATTTGTTCCCATGGAAGTTGTCCGGAACTTCAAAGCTGTTCTCATGTTTATTTACAGGCGACTTTTTAAACAAAAGATGTTACTTTCAAGCAGTGTCTGCGTACAGCGTGAGGCTCGAGCTCAGAGCCCCGAGACCAGGAGTGCGGCTCCACGGACCCGGCCAGCCCAGTGTTCCACCCCGACTGACGACTTCTTTACACTCACCTGCATTTCTACCTTTTTCAACAAAATAAAAGCTTCAGCATGTTCTCATGTCCCTTATTCTCCCGAATTCTCAGTTGCGTTGCACAAGCTTTCAGCCTCCGCTC